GTTTTAGAGGTCATTTCTCCCACTTGATTCTTCTTCTATAAAATCCTACAGAACAATGTTTATGATACAGCCATTTAATATATGTACAAATTGTAAAGAATATGTATAAATATTTTACACAAATGTAAGAGCATGTAGAAACCAACATATAAATAAATTGTTAAAACAACAACTGTACAGTAAATTCTCAAAGCACTTTTTCAAAACACTCTGGTATTTTTGTGTGATTTTTCTTTAAATTTTTTTTTTTCTCATTAATGACACTGTCTTGTTTAAAAAAACTCAAAACTCATTGCAATCAAGTTGGAACCAACTCAGCTGACCCTCCAGCCGTATTTCTTGCTCACAGGAGGAGACGGTCCCTCTTTCTCTCACAGAAATACAGGTGGATTTGAACCCCAGAGAGGTCTGGCCTTTATATTAGCAGCGCTACTCACTATAGACTGTCCTCAGAGCCTGTTGAAAATACCCCAGGTCATGAATTTGTACCCGAGAAGTGTTATCTCCTGCCCTCCAGATGGCTCCGATTCCTGAAGTCAGTGAAAACAGTATGACAGGTGTTAGGGTGGACACACGTGACCTCCACTAACCTCACAGGGCGAAGAATCCCCACCAACCACACAAAGCTGATTGTTGTGAAGACAGGCCTGCCCCCACGCTCCACAGCTGACAACTCCAATACCAGCCATCCCCTCAAGGCTCTCAGCCCTTCTCTGCTGTGTTGGAGAATTCATTGTGCTGGCTACCCACTGCTCAAGGTTTATTAGGTAATCCCCAGGTTACGGTTCAGGTATGGAAACATTGGGGGTACAAGTTGCGTTGGTGAAGCCTCTTCTCTGACAGGCAGCACACTGTGCTTTGTCTGAACAAGTGTTAAACAGCTTGTTAGCTCTGATTATGAACCACCCCCACTCCGCCATTGAGCCTGGGCCTGCGGGCACTTCAGCACCACGGGCTCCCCCAGCATGCTCCCTGGACCAGGAGTCCACAGCTCTGTCTCACACCAGCCTCTGGATATCCGCCACTATCCCGTCTACTCTCACACCATCTCTCTGGTGTTCTGGCTCTCTCCATCTGTGGTCCACACAGACCTCAGGCCAAAGAATGCACGGTTCTCTCTGGTTCCTGCTGCCTGATGGCAGTGAGGACCCATTTTCTACCTCTGAACCAGCTCAATTTAAGCCTGGCAGGATATCAAAACCGACCAATCCCCACACTGGTGTCCTCACATCTTACTGCATGGCCCCACCCAAAAGATGCTGGTCACCTTATTTACGTCATTTTTCCACACAGCCCCCCTGGTGGACCACAAGCACCTGACGCTTGCATGTGGTCAACCGGACAACGGCTTGGAAGAGCTACATCAGGTAAGTCATTGCAGAGACATGGCCCAGCCACCAGGGCTGGCCGAGGGGCTCTCGTAACACAGGAGCGCCTGTGTCACGGCCGCGTGCGGTAAGTGCTGCTGGGACAGCTCCAACTCCTACCTACCCCACGTGCCACAGAACAGAAGCCTGCCTCAGTCTGTCCCATCCTCACAGCCCGCTCACGTCTGTTGGTCCCTAGGATGGTCCTCCTGGACGATGCCTTCAGCCGACCCTGCATTTTCCCAAGCTCCTCCACACAGCCTGCCGTGGGTTGTCGTCTGAAAGAGGTTAGGTCTGAAAGTGGACAAAGCATCTCAGGGATGGAGATGACACGGGATACTCAAAACCAGACTAAGCTTTGACGGTTGATGCTCTTCCAAGTGACAGAAGTCCAATGACGAGTCAGTGCTTTGTGGCATCGAGCACGCTGCTCGGTCTTCCTATGATGCTAATGTTCTCATTTTACAAATTGTTGACACTACAGTAGAGATAAGATAGTATAAAGCCAGCTCTTAAAAATACTGGCTTTATTTTTAATGAGAGGGTCGAGACAGGAGAGATCATGTGCACTAGTTAATCTAGTACCGTGTTAAACTAGCAGCAGTAAGGGTGGGGAGAGGCATGTCCAAGCTGTTGGAGCAAACGTGTACGTGGTCCGTGACAACACCGTCACAGGGCAGAAGCTGGCCTTCCAGGCAAGAGGAAGCACTTCATGGTGAAAAGATCTGAGTTGTAGTTAGAATCCATTGCTGCAACAATGAATGAATGGAAACCCAAAATCTCTGTAAATGTTTATGAAAATTAATAAAATATAATTATAGGGGGAAAAAAGAATCCATTGCTTCTAGACCCAGCTTAGAAACCAACATGTCGCCTCAGACAAGCACACCAAACGCTCCAGCTCCATCCCATCTCTTCGCAGGGTGAGTCAGGATAGGCTGAGAAGGCCCCTCACTAAACCCCTTCTAGGCCTTGGTGTTGGGGCCACAGGGGAAGGACAGGGCTGGGCCAGGCAGGCTGGGCACAGGGAGTCAGCCTCACCAGGTGGCAGCACCTTTCACGGTCACCAAGTCAGCTGAAGGGCGGGAAAGTGGGTCCCAGGATGCTGCCACCCCCTAGTCAACCCTGCGAGCAGATGAGAGCCCAAGAGAAGGAGGCGGTGGTTTTCCCACACAGCCTGACTTTATCTCAATGTCATCAGCACCGGTGAACTCTCACAGAAATTAGCCAAGAGAGGCGAGGTTGCCAAGTCTCCTTCCAGAGGAATCAGTGTTTTTACAGATGCGAGGCCCAGGAAAGGAAGGGCCTCAGCCCCGAGCCCCCAGCTCCCAGGATACAGACATCAGGGAGGCTCCCTCAGTTGTCTGCTTGGACACACGCTGATCTCCACAAAATGACTGGCTTGTGAATCAGAAGACTCCGCAGTCTTGATGAGCATGAAGACATTCCTGAGGCTCCAGGGAAGGAACTCGCGCCTCCCAAGACTTCAGGACACTCTCAGGATGCAGTTTCTGCGCCTTCCCAGGGGCGTTCTCTACAGCATGAAGGGTCTAGAAGCCAGGCTCCACCTCGGCAGCTGATGAAGTGAACACGGGAGAAGAATCACTGCCTTTGAGTCATGATTCTGGGCTGCCAAGAAAACAAACATCTGCCCAGAGAGGGGGAAGATGGATTGCTTTTTGGAGGCAAGGATTTCGAAACTCCATCTCACATATTATGGGCATGTGGTCAGGAGTGACCAGTGCCTGGAGATGGACATTGTACATGGAAGTGGGGAGAGTCAGTGCAGGAAAGAAAGACCCTCAATGAGATGGATTGACACAGTGACTGTCACAGTGGGGACAGGTGTGTCAGAGAGGATGAGGCTGCCTCAGGATACTGCAAGGTTCAGAGCCATTGTTCACAGCAGAGCCACGAGGTGTAGTCGTCTCGATAACAACAGTGAACATAACAACAATGAATGCTGCTTTATGGGGTGGTGGGCTGGGTTAACCTGAAACAGGTGATGGCTGCAGAGTGAAGCCGGGGCTTGAAGATGGTCCAGGATTTCTGCCCCATCTCCCTTTCTGGAATGGTCATCTGGCCTGGTCAGCCCTCCTGGTCTGCCTAACCCAGGTTATTTGAAAAATAGATTCCCTTCTTGGGAGCTCTGGTGGCCTAGTGGCAAGAAGATGCACTCTAATCCCAGAGGCGGGTAGTTCCAATCCACCAGATGCTCTGCTAGAGAAGGAGGGACAATCTCCTCCTGTACCATCAGATCTGATTTAATGGTACACACACAAAAATAATAA